ATCAAAATTATATTTATTGTAACCCAAACCACAGATACGTTGCGCTGTAATTCAGATAACAATGATTGCATGTTTCGGTAATACGATTGTTGTTTTCACGCCAACCATCTAATATGTGTACTGTTTGGTCTGTTTGTATTGCTGATTTGAATCGCATGATCATCTATCGTTTGTGTTTCTTGTACCACGACGACAATATGTTTTGTTGACAGTCAGCTTACTGAATCACCTGCTGACTCATTTGATCCAATATATGACAGCGTCACTTATTTGGTCTAACGACGGTTGTTTGCTGATATTGGTGTTGATATTGATATTGTTCTGACACAATGTTTCAGCGTTCCATGTATAGTCTACACTAACCTAAACCAATCGTGCAGTTTTACAACCGGATATTCACGCTGTCGAAATACTGCAATTGCAGCCTGATTGTGCCATCAGAATGTTTCCGGATCATGATGAAACCGGATTGTAATGTATATATATATTGTGCGTTCCATATTTTGGTTTTGACTGTTACAAGTGCAATATGTCAAGTTGTATTGCAAGTCGGTAGTCCATTGTTGTAACGACAACGGCCATCTAAAACTATCAAGTGCTGTGATAATATGTGCCAATATATGACCCATTCCAACACAATATTTATTGGGAGCTCATCTGGTTTGATATCAATATTCAAATAATTCGATGCAAACCAGAATAGTGATCGGACTGAAACCAATATGATGCATGCATATCCACCATCAAATCAATACTGCGTCAACATGATGACAGTCATCAATCGAGTGCAACCACGAACCCCATCAAATCAGCATATATCCAATACCCAATGCCCAATACACACCATAATCAATTAGACCAACTGGTTACAAATATGATACCGGTAGCCTGTCGATCGAGCAATACAATGGCTGCAATAAACAACAATATTGCTGATACTGGTTATTATGCAGTTATCATGACGCTGGCTAAATAAATAATCTGGCATGCTATACTCATTGCGGTCGTGGTTGAGCAAGCACAGTCGTATATCAGGGTTGTATAAGGAATAAATGATTGACTGTACAAGGTAATTGTTGGTGTAATCAGGTTCGACACTCTGTGTATATGATTTTGTAGTTATAAGGAATCGCTTACCAAGGGCCAAGTGTAACTGCAGGGTGTTTTATCTACTTGAGCAGTGGTTAATCCACAACCTAAAAAACTGTACACCTGCCTGAAACTGTATGTCGCACTACACGATCAGTCGAGCTCTTTCATTATCAATTGTTGGAATATCCAGACGAATACTCCTAAGCGGTAACTTGTGGCAAGGTTAATTCTTTTAGCTCTCACTTTAAAGCTTTCAAATTAAACTTTTCCTGGCTACCAATCCACATGCTCCGACTCCATTATCTTCATCTTATAAAAAACGCAAATTTGATTTATTTAATAAATAGCTCTTCAAACTATTTCATCTTCCTAACTACTTTATTATCTTTCACTATTCTTGAAAAAAATCAAGTCTGTTGATCTTGAATTACTGTGCAACTTCCATTACACTTCTGATTTGTTCTTTTCTAATAGCTACTAACAGTCACAGATGGTATTTTACATTTATTATAAATTTACACGAAGCTCCAAAAATTCTGACACCAACTTACCACCCTTTTACACTACCGCCGTTTTGGTAGTCACAGTGAGGATTTACTATAAACGGCCAATGATAAACATAAAGCATTTTTAAAGCACTCCCTACACAAGTTGATCCTTATCCCTAGAACTCATCCAGTACACGATTTCGATTATAAAAGATGGAATTGTGGATGTTTGAATGGGTCACTGATCAAATAGGCATATAGTCGCTAGACCAGATGAAATTCGCAAGCGCATCGATTTTTGCAGCTCTTGCTCTGAGCAGTAGTATCTATGCTGCACCACCACTAAAATCTCTGAGTCTTGCATACACCACTAGTGTCGCTACCGCAACTGCCACTGCCACTGCAACCACCAGTTTACAACCTAGTTCACAAACAATGAGTAATACACCCGCTTCAACTAGAACCCCTCTTGGCGAACCGATTTATCACACGAGTCCATTTTTTACAGCTGTTTTATCAAAATTGGTTCATGAACATCAAGGCAGTAGCAATCTCCGTAATACCATGGTTAGTGAGGTTTTAACCAAAGTGTCCGAGGCAAAGAACGCTTTGTATAGGGAAAATGGAATCACGCTTACTCCTGAAGAACTCGACCTTGACCGTGCAACATCTACTAAAACCACAGATGGTAGAAGATTAGTAGAGTATCCGGGTAGACATACGTTTTTTGGAATATTGATGTCCGCTATTCAAGATCCACCAAACTTTACAGATGAAAATGTGATGGCTGCAAGTCCCGCAATGACTGGCTCATTGCATTCTGGACATGATCAAGCTGCGCCATTGCCTGTTCTTGATTTGGAATTCCCACAGGTGTATGTCCAAAGTTTTTTGGACGAACTTTTGCGCTTGATGAGGCAGTTTGATATGTGGTTAGCAAGAACCAAATCAAATGTCAAGAAAATCAAAGTTGAACCCAAGAATACCGAAACATCTGCACTCATCACTGCATTCAATTCGTATTTCAGCCAAATGATTGCCAAATTTACACAGGCAACAACTAGCTTAAGTCAATTACTGCAAAACACAGGTGAACCCAGAGATCCTAACGATTTAATTGCATTAGGTCTAACTATAATAGAGGATATCCGAAAGGATCAAAAAGACGAAAAACCATTTTCAGATGCAGTTTACAAGTTTTTCAAACATGACCTGCGAGCTAAATTACTAGCCAAATGGATACTTGACGTTTGTTTCTATCCTTTTGATCAAATGTTAAAGTCAGGGAAACAACTGAGAAATCAGTTGAATGGCATCGACGGTGATGATCCACATGATGATGGTGGATCGAATCCTCAACCGGTTGAGCATGAAGTGGATCCTCAGCCAGCCCAGCATGATGTTGATCCTCAGCCGGTTGAGGATGAAGTGAATGTCGAATTAGGTAGTGATTTGGAAGATGTTTTGGATGATGATTTGGAGGATAGTTCGGACCCTCAGCCAGTCCAGCATGAAGTGAGTCCTCAACCGGTTGAGGATGAATTGAATGGTGGATCAGATAGTGATTGGGAGGATGTTTCGGATGATGATTCAGATCCTCAACCGGTTGAGGATGAATTGAATGGTGGACCAGATAGTGATTGGGAGGATGTTCCGGATGATTCAGATCCTTGATCGGTTGAGCATGATTTGTACTCAGACTTTGAATAAAGCATTAATTACCGACTTTAAATTTGGTGCAAATGCCACATATTGTTGGTGATGGATGTGATCGATGGATTCATAAACTACAGCCGTGTCCATGTAACATGGAATACTTGCATTCATCTTGCAGTAATTGCATTTTACTTTCAAATAAACAATCGTCAAATGTTCATTATGCTCTACTACGCTTTACTATGCTTTACTACCAAAAACCGACTGCTTGTTCAATTGACATGTTCAATTCTTTTAAACAACCATCATATGATGCTCATACAACCAAATTATCACTTTGTCCATCATTGCCATAGTAATGCATTGTACAATCACCAAGTCTGGACACATACTCATTCATTGCAGCCCACTGATTCAAATCGACTATTCTGATGTCATCAATCAAACTCATATTTATTGTAACCCAAACCACAGATACGTTGCGCTGTAATTCAGATAACAATGATTGCACGTTCCGGTAATACGATTGTTGTTTTCACGCCAACCATCTAATATGTGTACTGTTTGGTCTGTTTGTATTGCTGATTTGAATCGCATGATCATCTATCGTTTGTGTTTCTTGTACCACGACGACAATATGTTTTGTTGACAGTCAGCTTACTGAATCACCTGCTGACTCATTTGATCCAATATATGACAGCGTCACTTATTTGGTCTAACGACGGTTGTTTGCTGATATTGGTGTTGATATTGATATTGTTCTGACACAATGTTTCAGCGTTCCATGTATAGTCTACACTAACCTAAACCAATCGTGCAGTTTTACAACCGGATATTCACGCTGTCGAAATACTGCAATTGCAGCCTGATTGTGCCATCAGAATGTTTCCGGATCATGATGAAACCGGATTGTAATGTATATATATATTGTGCGTTCCATATTTTGGTTTTGACTGTTACAAGTGCAATATGTCAAGTTGTATTGCAAGTCGGTAGTCCATTGTTGTAACGACAACGGCCATCTAAAACTATCAAGTGCTGTGATAATATGTGCCAATATATGACCCATTCCAACACAATATTTATTGGGAGCTCATCTGGTTTGATATCAATATTCAAATAATTCGATGCAAACCAGAATAGTGATCGGACTGAAACCAATATGATGCATGCATATCCACCATCAAATCAATACTGCGTCAACATGA